TTGATGAGAGGAGAAGAATGGTATATGTTTTTTGTGAAGATCTAATGGTGGATGATGAGTTAGGGTTTAGTGTGTAGAGAGAGAAAGAGATAAATGAATACAATTATAAACTAAAGAAACAAAGTGAAAGATGAAATGAAAGATGATGATGAAAAATCAAAATGATCTGAATGTTTAATGAAAGAAACTAAATGGTGTGTTTCTCAGTCTGATTCTCTCCAAAAAATAATTCTAAAATGAAATTAAAAGGCTAGAAAGCTTCACACTTTGTGCACATGTCCATATGTGGCACCTTCTCATTGGTTGGATGATAATTCTTATGATAATAAAAATAATCCCATGCTTTGGATCTTTTGGATCAAATCTACCCCATCCATTAGTTTCTTTTTGCATGCCACAATACCCATCTTAGCCTCCTTGTTGAGTTCTTTAAGGAGGAGAGCTATAATCTAAGTTTGGGCTCTGTACCTTTAGTCGGGTCCATCTCGAGCACCGAAGATGTTTGACCAGGTACATGTAACTTTGTTGTTCAAGGTGATAGGCTTGGGGTGCAAAGTGATCGAATTGGCATGCAAGGTGCTAGGTAATAGGCTTGGGATGCAAGGTGATAGGCTTGATGTACAAAGCGTAAGGCAATAGACTTAGTTTTGCAAGATGATAGACTTGATGTGTAAGGTAATAGGCTTGAAGTGTAAGGTCATATGCTTAATGTGCAAGGTGATAAGATTGATGTGCACGATGCTAGGTGATATGATTGGAGTGCAATGTCATAAGCTTGGTGTACAAGTGCAAGGTGATAGACTTAGTTTGTAAGATAATAGATTTGATGTGCAAGGTGATAGACCTGGTGTGCATAAATTGGTCCTTAAATTGATCTTAGTCCCTCTAAAAAATTTCACTCCCAAGGAGGGATTTTATGGCAATTTTCCCTATCCAATTTCCACTAGTTGTGAAAAGTAACTGTTACTACAGTGATTCTACCACACTCGATAATTGTGAAAATACATTTGAATTATTTATGGCAAATCTAATAATGATTGGATCTTGGACCCCTACATTGATGAGCTTATATTTTTCAGAAGAGGCCAATAATAATTAAGTAATTAGTTATTAGGACATTTATGAATTCATTATTCAAATTTTGAAACTAAAATTTGAATTGCAATTCACAAGGGAGTTTTTATACAAGGACTATAGCAAGAAAAATAAGTTAGGGTTTGTCAAAATCAAAAAAAAAAAATGGCGGGTTGATATAGCCTCCCTTTTTTTTTTAAAGGTACTCCATTTAATTTATATGATTGATTTATTGCGACTTATGATTAGGAGATTAGAACAAATATATACAATGGTCTACAAGGCTTAAGTTGAAAGTTTTGAAGTTAATTTGATCACAAAAATTATGGATACATATTACAAGATTTGATGTATTCAAGTTAATACCTTAATTTGAAAATAAAAATATTTAAAAATGAGGGGAAATAAATAAATAAATAAATAAAAGACAAGCTAGCTCGTCAGCTTGCCAGCCACCCAACGACGAGTTGAGTTGAACGTGTTAAAAGTATGGAATAGCTTTCTTGAAGAGCTTTGGGTGAAGAATCAAGAGTGGATAAAGTCTCTAGTTTCACATGCCAAAGGCCCTGCAATGAAGACCTGCAACATTGAAACTAAGATGAGGCATACTAGGATCTTAATCCTCTAATGCTACTTTTCCTACTACACACCTACATCCTCGCGCAAGTATTTTCAACATCAAGAAGCCTTTTTCAGTGTTTATTTTCATAATTTCTTTCTTCATAAAGTGTCATATTTGAGAATCAAGATTTGGGGCCTACTCACCTTCTAGATCAAACTACTTGATCCCCCAGGAAAGTGTTTAATTTGCAAACTAAAGTTGAAGTGCAATATGATTTGTCACTGTACACTGTTTAGAAAAAAAGTGAATTTAGCGAATATATAACAAATAAGAAATTTTGCCTCCTACCAGCTTTTGGGTAAACTAGTTTCAGAGGCAACCTTGATTTTGGGACCAAAAGCTATTAAACTTTCCCAAATAATTTTACCTCAGATTTTTAGGTTTGGCAACCTTAGTTTTGGGTACCCAAAAGGTCAACCAAAAAAGGCCTTTCTCCATCTGCTATATGGAAGCTGTCAACACAATTAAATGGGATTAAAAAAAAAAATACACATTATCTCGTTTCAAAAAAAGCCCATCAAACGGAGCTTGATTGCTTGGTTCTGACAAAAGCCTCCATTATAGCTTAGCTGCTGACATTCTTGGGACACATTTCAGTTCTGTATAATTTGTTCTGGGGGAGAATCACATTCAAAGATCATTTAAGCACATTAATTGCAGACAAGGGCTAACAAGTTCCATTCCAAAAAGAAAGTTCATGCTTCCATTTTAACAATACATTCCATATTAATTATTGTCTGCAAATAATTTACCTGAGTAGTCCTTGAATGTGATTCTCCCTAGAAAAAAAAAAAAAGGGAAAAATCAATACACCCAACAATAAATCTCATTTTCCAACTTCATGTAACCCAATTGGTAATGCCTTGTATCAAACCTAATAATGAAGTGAATGACTCGATCAATGAACTTGGAATCAGTTCACACATTCCATTTATCATATTACCGATGATAAGTTATGAAGCCAAGTGACGCGTGAGCACACAGCAAATCCTTCATCTACTCTACTGCATGGCAATGGAAGAACTAAAAAAAGCAAGAGGCATATAAACGACAGGAACCAAATAAATAGAGGTTGAATGAGTATTATACAACTCTGACAACATGCAACCAGAACAAATTATCAAAGAACTAAAGCCTAATGTGTCATTACAAACTAATCATCTAAATTATAGTTAATGCTGCGCCTCAAACCACAAGAAAAAAGGAAACCAGTTTGACCCAAAAGAGACAAATCAGTATGTATTGTTAAGTAGACTATAAACTATAAAGAACAGTTACATCAGAGCATAGATTACAGATACAGCTAAGCTATGGAGCATGGGAAGGCCAAGTACTGTTGTTAGTGAAAGAACCAATGGAAAGGTTTAACGATAAGAGACGAAACTAATCGCAGAGAGACAACAGTCAGGGAGACGTCCTCCTTAACTCATCTAGATCACCAATGGCCGAATAACAAACCTCTATACATATCAATAGCAACTCACGGGCATTTTCTTTGGATATAAGAAGCTCCATGCTCTTCATACCTATCAATTGCACGCTTAAATTTAGTACAGAAAAGCTATATGGCAAAATTAGGAAGCCTAAGCCCTGAATAGCTATCAATTGCAAATGGATAAAGGTAGCACTGACTATCAATTTCATGCGAGTATGACTAAGAAACCTTCCCCTCATAAACTAAACCAATGTAAAGGGATCCAAAGTGTATTTAAGCTTATTAAATAGTTTCTACTTAAATTTCAATGGAAAGATTTGAAGGCCGAACTTGACAGTTGGTCTTCTGTTTTCTGGTAGAAGGTTGTCCACAGTTTATTCATTCATTCATTTATTTATTTATTATCAATGAAGTCCCTATGAAGCCCCCATAGGAATGGAATTAGAACAATGTTATCACTCTCAGCTACAATAGGAACACAAAATCTGCAAAGCACTGGCCAGGAAAAACAATAGTGATGTATATTTGAAGGGCCAACATAGGTTTACTAACTCCAATATACAGGGAAGGGGATGGGGAGCAATAGGAATGAGAGAAAAAAATTTCGAACATATTTTAAACTAAACTTCAAGATTTAAAATTTATCATACAACCTTTGACAAATAATTGATACTTACTCAGTCTTGGAGAACCACATTTGTTGGAAGGAGCCAAGAGAAGCCAATATGCTTCCACCTATCCAAACGCTGCATAATTCACCACCATGAGGAAGAGGACATTTTTTTGGACAAGCAATCACAAGAAGCATTTAATCTGGCCCACTTTCATTAGCACTCATTAAAGTCGTTAACAGAATATATTGATACATATTTTTTTGGACCTACAAATATCAAAGATTATGGGAACAGAAACTACGTCAACAATGACCAAAAGCTATAACTAACAATTGAAGAAGTATGATGCCAGAAACCTCTATTATTACAGAGGAAGAAACGAACATTTATAGAGAAGCACAAAGCCTAGGTAATCTAGGAGATGGCTGAGATACACAAGGCAAATCATATCAGGAAATAAAATCAACCTATATCCCTATCAGCAAAAATAACTGTTGAAAGGGGGCTGATGGGTCCTAGGCCCATTAGTCAACTTAATCCTAGATTTAATATCATTATCTTTATTGTTATTATCTTTTCAGCATAGTTTTTAGGGATTAGATTTTATTTTTCTGATATGATATTATTATCATATCTCTTGTACTTTATAAATTCAGCTTTCCTCTGAATAAACAATTACATTCATCACAGAAACACTCATGGTATTAGAGCCACAGTCAGCCTATACCTAAATTCCTGTCGCTCATGCAACTTTGTCCTGAGAAGTGCGCAACTCAATGCAGCTTTGTTCTTTAGACGCAAGATGTTTTCAGCATGCGTCTTTGTCCTCTCAAGTCATGCTCCAGTCCTGCAAGGATCCTCTCCCTTGCTCAAGTCGTATGTCACGGTTCTACACTGATCAAGTAGCGCGACCTTGTTTGCTCTTTTGTTGCAGTCGCAACCTGTGATGTTCTACCCAAATGCAAGAACACGTCTCAATCTCTAGGCCCAACACTGAATCGCGCCTCTCTCATCTGTTTCTATTGAGAAGTACCTCTGTTTCAGCCCTTCAAAGTAGAGACAGCGTCCTTTCCTCTGTTTCGTCTCAATACTATGTTTTTATTGTTATGGCCTACAAAGCAGCCTTGAATGGTAACCCACAAACCTTCAACACAAAAGGGGAATCCACAAATAATCCCTCTAGTCAATGTGGCAGTGAAAGCGTCCTTTCCTCAGGCGGTGGTAGCAATGTTGATTCACTCTCCTCTACTTCTCACCTATCGACTGAATGGGAATAATTATTTGCAGTGGTCCAAGAGCGTCTGTTGAAAGTGAGCTGATGGGTCCTAAGCCCATTAGTCAACTTAACCCCCATTTAACATCATTATCTTTATCGTTATTATCCTTCCAGCATGTTTTTAAGGATTAGATTTTATTTTTCTTGACATGATATTACTATCATATCTCATGTGTACTGTATAAATTTAGCTTCCCTCTAAATAAAGAATTACGATTCATCACAAAAACTCTCATGGTATCAGAGCCGCAGTCAACCTATACCTAAATTACTTTCGCCCATGCGACTTCATCCTAAGAAGCATGCAACTCTGTGTGACTTTATTCTTCAAATGCAAGGTGTCTCAATGTGCGTCTCTGTCCTCTCAAGTTGTGCAAAGCATCGTGCACCTTTATTCTCTCAAGTTGTGCGCAACATCTCGAAGATCCTCTCCCTAATTCAGGTCATACGTCACAGTTTTGCACTGCTCAAGTAGTGCGACCTTGTTTGCTCGTTTGTTCAAGCCACAACCTGCAACGTTCTACCCAGACATAAGAACACATCTCAATCTTCTAGGTCCAACATTGAACCGCACCCCTCTCATCTATTTCTATCGAGAAGTCCTCTGTTTCAACGCTTCAAAGCAAAGATATTGTCCTTTCCTCTGTTCCATCTCAATATTCTGTTACTATGACTTACAAAGCAGCCTTGAATAGCAGTATCCCATAGACCTTCAACACAAAAGGGGAATCCATAAATAATCCCTATGGTCAACATGGCAGTGACAATGTCCTTTCCTCAGGCAATGGCAACAATGGTGATTCACTTTCTCATCTACTCCTCACCTATCAATTGAATGGGAATAATTATTTGCAGTGGTCCAGGAGTGTCCTTATGTTCATACGTTGTCGATATAAGGGATGTTATTTGACTGGTTCCCTTAAAGCACCAGGAGTTAACGACCCCAAGTATGAGACTTTGTGTGCAAAAAGCATGGTGATGACATGGTTGATTCATTCGATGAACCCAAAGATAAGTGAGAATTATCTCCTTGCCAACTCAGCCCAGGGAAGTTGGGAGTTTGCCCGGTGTACTTATTCTGTCAAGGAAAATACAGCAACAATTTATCAAGCAAAGCGTACTCTTCAAACCCTTACACAGGGGGAGAAATTAGTCACTTTATATTACACTACTCTTATGCATCTCTAGCAGCATATATTGATCTATATGAGGTACACTAATGGTCTTGTCAAGCTAATGCTACCAACTACAAGACGGTGGTTGAACGGGAGTAATGCTATGAATTTCTCCTTAGTCTTAGTGACTCCTATGAGGATCTTCGAGGACGAATTATGGGCATGAAACCTCTACCTTCTCTTGAAGACACATTTAACATGATTAAATATGAAGAAAGCTGCAAAGTCCTAGTATAGCTTCCTTCTTCTACCTCTACTCCTTTTAGTACTGAAGCTTCTGTAACATTCCGTGTTAGCACTATATCATCCACATACACAATTAAGATAGTTGTTTTTTGACCAGATTGTCTTACAAAGAGTGTATGATCAATCTAACATTGAACATATCCAAATCCCTTTACAACACAAGTAAATCTTTCAAACCAAGCCCTGGTAATGACTTGTGCAATTTACATACTTTACCTGCATTATCTAGACCTCTTAGTCCTAATGGAATCTCCATGTACACTTCCTCTTCCAAGTCCCCATTTAAGAAAGCATTTTTAACATCTAGTTGGAATAATGGCCAGTCTAAATTAGCAGCAAGAGAAAGTAGAATGTTTATGGTGTTAAATTTCACCATTGGTGCAAGAGTTTCTTGGTAGTCAATGCCATAGGTTTGGGTAAAGCCTTTGGCAACTAATCGGGCCTTGTATTTATTGAGGCTATCGTCAGGATTAAACTTTGTAAGAACCCATTTACTCTCTACAACTAACTTTCCCTTGGTAATATCCTTTGCACTAGGAGTTGCAAGCCAATTTGCAAGCAATCCTCAAAAGGAGCATATGAAAACTGTATATAGAATCCTCAGATATCTAAAGGCTACACCTAGAAAAGGTCTCCTCTTCTCAAAGGGAAATAAGAAGAGTGTAGAAATCTATACAGATGGCACTAAGAGAACTCTAGGATCAGAAAGTGTAATAGATGTAGAAATCTACACTGATGCAAATTGGGCAGGAGCTATTCATGACAGACGCTCTACATAGGATATTGCACCTTTATGTGGGGTACTCTGGTAACTTGGAGAAGCAAGAAACAACCAATTGTATCTAGAAGTTCTGCAAAAGCTAAATACAAGGCTCTAGCTCTTGGGATTTGTGAAGGTATATAGGTTGTGCAACTATTGAAGGAACTTGGTGTTGAAATGAAAGCTCCTATAACAATGTAGTGTGATAGTATGGCAGCTCTCAAGATTACGAACAATCCTGTTCAACATGATCATACTAAACATGTTGATATTGATAGACATTTCATCAAAGAAAAAATTAAGCTAAAATCATAGATCTGGCATATATTCCCTCAAGAAACCAAGTTGCAGATGTAATGACCAAGCCTCTTATTAGAGCCAAGTTTGCAGAGATGATAAGCAAGTTGGAAATGATCAACATCTATTTGCTAGCTTGAGGGAGAGTGTTGAAACTAGGCTGATGGTTCCTAGGCCCATTAGTCAACTTAACCCTAGATTTAATATCATTATCTTTATTGTTAATATCCTTTCAACATGTTTTTAAGAATTAGATTTTATTTTTCCTAACATGATATTATTATCATATCTCATGTACTTTATAAATTCAGCTTCCCTCTGAATAAAGAATTACAATTCATCATAGAAACTCTCGGTGTCCTTATGTTCGTACGTCGTCGAAATAAGGAACGTTATTTGACTGGTTCCCTAGAAGCACCAAAAGTTAGTGATCCCAAGTATGAGACTTGGTGTACAGAAAACATGGTGATAACATGGCTGATTCATTCGATGAACTCAGAGATAAGTGAGAATTATCTCCTTGCTGACTCGACCTAGGAAATTTAGGAGTCTGCCTAATGTACTTACTCCGTCAAGGAAAATACAATAGCAATTTATCAAGCAAAGCGTACTCTTCAAACCCTTACACAAGGGGAGAAATCGGTCACCTTATATTACACTACTCTTATGCGTCTCTGACAGCATATTGATCTATGTCACCACCAATGGTCTTATTACGTTGATGCTCTCTACTACAAGTCAGTGGTTGAACAGGAGCGGTGCTATGAATTTCTCCTTGGCCTCAATGACTCCTATGAGGTCTTTGAGGAATAATTATGGGTATGAAACCTCTACCTTCTTTTGAAGACACATTTAACATTAAATATGAAGAAAGCCACAAAGTCTTACTACAACTTCTTGCTTATACTACCTTTGCTCCTCTTTAGTATCGAAACTTCTACTATGGTGGCTCGTGGTCATCAAGGAAGGGACCACAAATGGAAAAAGTCGCTTCAGTATGATCATTGTAATAAAAATTTTCATACACAAGAAACTGGTTGGCAAATTCATGGCAAGCAGATCATTTAAAGAACCCCAAGGGTGATAACAAGGGGGGAGCAAAAAGGTCACAACAAAAGGTTCACTGCCCACCTTACTTATGATCATACACTCAATACTGAGGAGATTGCTATGATGAAACTTATTCTGGAGAATATTCTCGTGAAGAGACAAGTAAGAAACCTACTCCCTCTATTACCTTGGCCCATGCTAGTAAGACTTTATTGACTACATTGGGTACTATCTCATTGTAACAACATTTGGGTGGTGGATTCTAGGGCAAATGACCACATTACAGGTTTTCGAGACTTATTTTCTAAGTTTAGCCCCCATTATGAGCATACTTGTGTAAAAGTAGCCAATAACACATATGCACAAGTAATGGGAACCGACACTATTGCTATCTCCGACTTTACTTTTTTGAAGAATGTTTTATATGTCTGCATTCTGCAATATCCAATGTAGCTTGTTATCTGTCACATGTATTACCCACCACTTATCTTGCCTTGCCACCTTTGACAATTCTCGTGTTTTTCAAGATTTAGCATCGGGGAGGATGATTGACAATGCTAAGAAACGCAATAGGCTCTACCATCTGGAAGACCAACCTGTCAGTCAATGCTGTTCAATTGACCCTATTTCCAAATGTTTCTTTTTTTTTTTTTCTATTATGTTACAAGAAGACACTGTTATGGCATTCTCGTTTAGGCCATCCTAGTTTTAATTATATGAAAATTTTGTTTTCCAACTCTAAATAAAGTCAAGTTACATTGCGATACATGCCAATTTGCTAAACAAACTCTCAATCCCTTCCCTGCTCATTCTTATATCCCCTCCACACCTGTTTCCCTCATCCATAGTGATGTGTCGAGTCCCTCATGGATTGAAATTCACACTAAGGCTAGGAGAATTGTTTTTTTATTGATGACCATATGCGGTTAACGTGGATTTTTTTTGATGAATGATAAATCTAAAATTTGCACTATTTTCAAAAACTTTCATACTTTTGTTCAAACTCAATTTCAAACTTCTATAAAGGTTCTTCATAGTGACAACAGAACCGAATATCTCAATTCTACTCTTCGAACCTTCCTTACTGAACATGGGATTCACCACCACACTTCTTGTGTGCATTCTCCTCAACAAATGAAGTGGCTGAGTGAAAAAACAGACACTTACTTAACGTTGCTAGGGCTCTCTTACTAGGTAATAATCTTCCGCATAAATTTTGGGGAGATGCAGTCTTTACAACTGCTTACCTTATTAACCACATGCCCTCTAAAGTTCACAACTTCCAAACACCTCTTTGACTTATTCTTGACATCCTATCCTCACTCTCATTTAATTAACTCTCTTCTTAAAAAAGTCTTTGGGTGCACTGCTTTCGTCTTTCATGATACAGGCAACAAATTTGAATCTTGGTCCATCAAATGCATTTTTTTAGAGTATTCATCTACCAAAAAAGGGTACAAGTGTTATTCTCCTAACACTCACAAGTTCTATGTCACTACTAATGTCACTTGTTGAATCTCTTCCTTTCTTTCTGAAATTATCCATTAAGGGGGAGAATGATGGTGAATAGCTAATCTGTGTGACTAATAATGGTCATCTCGAAAATAAACAAACTAGCAACCCTAATGTGAGTCCTCACACATCACTAGACCCGTTCTCCACTGACTCTAGTTTTATACCCATCTCTAAACCAAAACCACCCATTCCAAATCTTGAACTACCTATCCCGGAACCTGAAGCTCAACCTACCCACATTGAGCCCAACTTTGAGCCATACTTAAATGAGTCAAGGATAGATCAATTTGAACAGCACAAAAATAATGAGGACCCCATTGTCATTCCAAGGCAAAGTCATGACTCTCAATCTAAGGGTAATCCTAAAGACCTTTAATAGCCTATTGCTCTTAAAAAAGGCAAGAGAAGTTGTACTAGACACTCCATCAATAAGTATGTTTCTTATAACAAACTCAACACTCAATTTAAGAACTTTGTTGCTGCTGTGGATAGTGAAGATATGCCTAAGACTTTTGAGGAAGCCATAGTTGATCCTAAATGGAAGGCAACTATTGATGAAGAGCCAAAGGCAATCAATAAAAATCAGACATGGAAGATTATGGAATTACCTGAGAGGAAGTCAACTGTAGGGAGTAAATGGGTTCTTACAAAGAAGTTTAATCTTGATGATAGCCACAATAAATAGCCACAATAAATACAAGGCCCAATTAGTTGCCAAAGGCTTCACCTAAACCTAGGGCATTGACTACCAGGAAACTTTTGCACCAATGATGAAATTCAACACCATAAAAATTCTACTTTCCCTTACTGTTAATTTAGATTGGCCATTATTCCAGCTAGATGTTAAGAATGCTTTCTTAAATAGGAACTAGGAAGAGGAAGTGCACATGGAGATTCCATTAGGACTAAGAAGTCCAAATAATGCAGGTAAAGTATGTAAATTGTACAAGTCATTATATGGCTTAAAGCAGTCACCCAGGGCTTGGTTTGAAAGATTTACACATGTTGTAAAGGGATTTAGGTATGTTCAATGTCAGACTGATCGTCTGGTCAGAAAACAACTATCCTAATTGTGTATGTGGATGATATAGTACTAACAGGGAATGATGCAAAAGAGATCTTAAAGCTAAAACAATGACTGGTTGAAGAATTTGAGATTAAAGACCTTGAAAATCTAAGATATTTCTTAGGTCTGGAGATTGCCCGCTCATCAAAGGATATTAATGTATCACAGAGAAAATATACTCTAGATTTGCTCAAGGAAACTAGAATGTTGGGAGTCAGACCTGCAGATGCTCTAATGGAACTGAACTGCAATCTAGAAGTGAAACCTGATGGGAAGACAATGAATAAAGAAAGATATCAAAAGTTGGTGGGAAAACTCAGAGACTTATCCCATACAAGGCCTGATATATCCTTTGCAGTAGGAGTCGTAAGCCAGTTTGGAAGCAATCCTCAAAAGGAGCATATGAAAGCTGTACATAGAATCCTCAAATATCTAAAGGCTACACCTGGAAAAGGTCTGCTCTTCTCAAAGGGAAATAAGAAGAGTGTAGAAATCTATACAGATGGCACTAAGAGAACTCTAGGATCAAAAAGTGTAACAGATGTAGAAATCTACACTAATGCAGACTGGGCAGGAGCTATTCATGACAGATGCTCTACCATAGGATATTGCACCTTTGTGTAGGGTAATCTGGTAATTTGGAGAAGCAAGAAACAACCAGTCGCATGTATAAGCTTTGCAAAAGCTAAATACAAGGCTCTAGCTCTTCGAATTTGTTAAGTTATATGGGTTGTACAACTATTGAAGGAACTTGGTGTTGAAATGAAAGATCCTATAAAAATGTGGTGTGATAGTATGGTAGCTCTCAAGATTGCGAACAATCCTGTTCAACACGATTGTACTAAGCATGTTGAGATTGATAGACAATTCATCAAAGAAAAAATTGCAACTAAAATCATAGATCTAGCATATATTCCCTCAGGAAACCAAGTTGCAGATATGATAACCAAGCCTCTTGCTAGAGCCAAGTTTGCAAAGATGATAAACAAGTTGGGAATGATCAACATCTATTCACCAGCTTGAAAGGGAGTGTTGCAAAAAGGCTGATGGGTCCTAGGCCCATTAGTCAACTTAACCCTAGATTTAATATCATTATCTATATCGTTATTATCTTTTCAACATAGTTTTAGGCATTAGATTTTGTTTTTCTGATATGATATTATTATCATATCTCTTGTACTTTATAAATTCAGCTTCCCTCTGAATAAACAATTACAATTCATCCCAGAAACACTCAATAACCACTAATTAAACTAGGGTAGAAAACATTAATTATAAAAATAGCCTTTGGGCCCATACAACATCAACAATAATATTGACACATAGATGAATCCCACCTGAACCTCCTTTCAGTTGCATTCCCACTGGCCAGCACTTTCACTCTAGCAGCTTGAGGGGATTCCTACATCAAAAATATACCATTTAGTTCTTCACATTTAAACTAGTCTATAATTACTATGAAGAAAACACACCACATGCAGCAAAAAAAGTTCAAACAGCTTGGATGTGTTTATCACCGCTAAATCATGACAGATTCATGAGCACAGCTGTTAAATTCTCAAATAAAACTGAACTTTCTTCTTTTTTTTTTTTTGGAGGGGGCGGTTGGGGCGGGGGGCAACTCACAATAGGAAATTGCCAACATCAATTATCAATAACAAATCATAAATGCACATGTTTTGGTAATAGTTTATGAATAATACTTAAAATGCACCCAAATCAAACCAATACTCCATTGTGGACACATCAAAGCATTCTAGTTCAACTCAAATTAGATGCTACAACAACAACATGCCTTATCCTACTAGAGTAGGTTGGCTACATGGATTACATTGTACTCTATCATTTAGTAAGCTTTTAAAAATATTGTTAATTAAGAGATCTCGATCAACAACTTCCAAAAGTATTCTCTTTGGCCTTCCTTTACCGTTTTTGACAGGGCTCAAAGTTATCCATTCCACCCTCTTCAAAGATGCCTCTCATGGTCTTCTCTGTACATGTCCAAACCACCTCAAATGATTTTCCTTTATTTCTCCTTCAATAGGTGCAACACCCACTTTCTCCTTTATAGACTCATTTCTAATTTTGTCTTTACGTGTATGTCTGCACATTCATCTCAACATTCTCATCTTCGCTACTCCAACTTTGTACTATTGCTATCCTGTTAAAGCCCAACATTCATTATCATATAATATTGCTGGTCTTATGGCAGTTCGATAAAACTTTCCTTTAAGTTTATTTGGTACCTTTCAATCACAGATAACTCCTTTAACATTTATCCAATTAAACCATCCAGTTTGTATCATATGCGCAATATCTCCGTCAATTTCCCCATTATGTTGAATAATCGCTCCAAATTATTTAAATTTTTTCATTTGATGTATGATCTGATCACCCAATTTCACTTTCAAATTACCATTCACTGACTCTTATCAAAATTACAATGTAGATATTCTGTCTTATTCCTACTCAGACGGAAACCTTTTAACTCCATTGTCCTCCTCCATAACTCCATTTTATAGTTAATCTCCTCTCTTGTCTTCGCAATAAGAACTATATCATCTGCGAAAAGCATGCATTTAGGGATTTCCTCTTAAATATACTCAATCTAAACATCTAAGATTAGATCAAACAAATAAAGACTCAAAGATGATCTTTAATGCATTCTATGGTTTCCAAACAATTCAGAGTTGTCGACAAAAGTTAGACATCTGGTAGTGAAGGCTTTGTGACTAGCTATGTAAGCTATAGGTTTTATTTTTTTCTCTCTAGTGTAGTAGGATGGGTGGTGTAGTCCCTGCTCTTAGCAAGAAAGTACAAATCAAAACCTTGACTTGTCAAACTCTTAAAAACAAGCAAGCCTGTCCCAAGCCAGTCTATTCACAATGACATTGCTCTTTTGCACAAATATGCTCTTATGGAAATGGTTGTTAGATAATCCACTTTGTTGAATCAGCTGAGAGAGGGAATGCAAATCTAAGCAAGGACTTAGGAATGGCAATACAAGGGTGACTGATGCATGTGTTTTTCTAGATACCCAAGCATCCACTCATCAACTGAACTAGAAAAGGGGGCCAGCCATGGCTTAGAATCTTTTGTAGCTTACTCTAGTGTTTATTCCAAGATATCCTTTAGAATATCTTGGGCACCATTGATTTTACAAAATTTGGAAGAAGGGCATTATTTGTTGGGTTACTATAACATCACAGGAATTTATCATTAGTGAAGCTTTCATCTGAATTCTAAACTGATCATCGCAAACTACCTGGCTCCAAGAATGCTTATTTAAGATGAAAAATCAACTCAAGTGTCATTGCAAACAAAAGTTTCAAGGGCTGAACAATTGGTGTCTAGTTTACATTGGCAATATAATGGGAATCATGCACAAATATCTACAGATAGGACTGCTCAGATATGTCCTATAAAAAATGACAAACTACAAAAAACTAGGCTAGAAATACTAATCCAGCAACTAAGAAAATGAACCAAAAAAACAGACATGCTCATTAATTAGCAATGTGCCTCTAAATATCTACAGGTAGATGAGAAAATAATGTGGATACCAGACATTACAAATAGGGGCTTGTTTGAGCACTAGCTACCAGAATCACTTTGTTGCATTGATGCTTCACTTTCACAACCCAATCTAGGTTAAGGAGCTGAATAGAAAGCTGGATTATGGAAAGAAAATAACACTTCCTATCCAATCACCGCTCGTTGTTTTGGTTGCTTTCTTTCAATGAAATGCTTGCACTTCAACTATTGGGCAGGTCATTTCTCAATTGAATAGTTGGGCTTGATGAAAAAGAAAAATTAATGATACAAGACAATTCTCAACTCAGTAACTTAATTTTAAGAAGCCCTACTTATTTTAAAACACTTTGACTATTTTGAAAACATATTTATGATGATGAAAAGTTTCTTAAAGCTCCTCAAAAAGAATATGACCATAAATCCTATCCTGCAGAAGATTTAAAGGTACAAAGTATGGTGACGTGTTTTAAAACAATATTTCTGACTGTTGCATTAAAGAGGTATCTTTAAGAGAAAACAGCCCCTGACGTTATCATAACTAAGAATTATAACAAGAAAATTGGCAAATGTGTAAAATTGAAATCAGCGTGCTAAAAAATTATACCTCTAACAAGTCTTTCTCAAGGCGTTCCTTCAACTGTTGCATTGAAGCTGTGCCACCAGCAAGCTGCATAACATAATTTTTCTATTTTTAGTTATAAACTAAAAGGAGGGCATCCAATCCTAAACATATGAAAGTGACCCCAAAGCATGGTTAGTAATGATCATGGTACACTAGCAATAAGGGCTCATGGGCATCACCATAAGCATTGGAAAGGGCACGGGTTGGAAAAAGATTGAGAAATAAGAATGAACGAAACTGCACCAACATTTTAGTAAAATAGTGATGGTATAGAATGCACGTGCAGCACACAATTGGCACAAAACTCTGGCACCATTCCACATGACAAAGGGTATGTTGTGACACACCATGAACAATACACCAAAGATTCACATGCTAAGCTACTTTTATTTACAGACCAACACAAAGATGCAAAAACATGCCAATGCGCAAATAAGGTAAACTTACCAGTATGCTACTAAATAATTCCCTTCGGATGTCTACATCACACTTGTTAATACTCTCTATAACCTGCACGTAAATACATAGGGAAATAATGAGAAAAGGAAGAAAAGTCAAGCCCAATGACCTCCAGTTCAAATATTTATTACCATCTGTGGCAGACCTCGAACTGAAGGAGCAATCTCTGCATAACTCTCCATGCCAGGAATAGTCTGTTGTTTAGTAAGAAAATTTAGCCCAGATAAGCTTTGAATTAAAAAAAATAAAAAAGAAAATAGTAGAAGGAAAATAACTTGGAATAGGAAGAGTGCACATTATGAGTGACGCCACTCATCCAGGCCCGTGTAGAAACTCTTTTCTTTTCAAATAAGAAAATCTTTAATGGACAAAAACAACTTTAAAGTAGCTTAAATATTTAGCTTTAGCTTCAAAACAAGGGTAGTAGAAACAAGAAACTAAGCAGCCTAATACCCCAAAAGTAGCAAGATGAAAAACAATATCAGCGAAAAGTTGATACAGGCCATACAATTGGTGCTACTGTGATATAACGTTACATTATTAAGATTACGATTCTGGTACAACAATTTGCAGAAAAGTTTGAGCATATGAGCAATGAACATTAATAACCAATGAATCTGCTTCATTACAAGGCGAGCAAACATTATTTGCACATACTGAAGTAAAGCATTTAGTGCTGCTTATGTCATTTGCGATCTCATAATTCCATTTCTTTTTATTAAGTAATTATGACAGCATTTTGAATATTTTCAATTAAACAAATCCCTCCCGACCTTTCCAACTTCATTTTATTTGCCTCTTTATATCCCACATGCATCAAGGTTGGCATCATATCCTGCCTATCCCAACAGAAGTCACAATAGTGGGGTGGTATATTGTCCAGCGAAGACGTTTAAGGCAGCTGGGCAGACATAGATATGCATGATCATCTGACATTACCAGTTCATAAGGATTTCAATAACAAGGCCATAACCTAAGGTCTGGGCCTTGCACTGAACAGCTGCTTTTGGCATAATTTGTGCGGGCCAAAATGAAATCCTAAAGCACCAATTCAAGATCTTAACATTTGTGAATCTTACCTAGATCCAACTCATTCAGAGAAAATAGATGATTCAACCAATGCTAAAATTTTGCATTTACCTACACCTGGAGTATATCACATACTTTACACCAGATGAATGAAAATGTTTACAGATGCAGGCTACACACCTGGACCAGAGATGGATTAAAAAGAACATCAGGAATCTTGAATCTATCAGCTCCAATTTCAATTGTCCTGTGTTATAACAAGTTCATACAAAAAAAAAACAGATGAAAAAGGGCAGTAAACCAGAAGCAGAAAGCAGGCAATAAAGCAATAGAGATCATTGCAAATACACAAGGCCAAGATACTAGAAATAGGCACATCAAACATTAACATAGAAATTCAATATCATAATTTCCATGAGAAAAATTAACTCGCACTCACTGGCCATCAGGAAGTTCATATGGGGTCATCGGAATGTTTGAGTATGCACTCTCTGACACAAAAAAGGAAGAAAACAGAATGTCAAATACAAGATTAATTATAACAATCTAATCTAGGATAGCTATGAAGAATTAACTGTGTTAGACATGTCTAGGGCCTTGGCCCATATTTATATGCTTAACCCATACTAGTTGTTGGACTCTATCATGTCCAATGTATCTTACTGTTATTTATAATCTTTGACTTTGGGAGAGAATAATTTATTGCTAGATGTTGTGATCCTCCTTATATGTACCCATCTCTCCATTTTCTCGAATACATAGAAAGAAACATAGGAAAATATTTTTCCCCATGGTATCAGCCAAAACAATGAACCAGAGGAGCCCAATCATGTTCAGTCCAGGGGGAGCCTTCGCCACTGGCAGAAATGGCTCTTCAACCTCCTCTATCAACAATGAGTCACTGGGTCACCATGGAAACAGTAGGAATCTATCCAAATCTGAGCAAGGACGCTAACAAAATTTCTCTAACAATGGCTCTCAATCTTCAACTGGCATCAATGGTGAAACAGCACCATCTATTCTTATCAGGCACAAGCTCAACAACAACAAATTAACTTCAATGGTCTCAGTGTGCCTCGCTGTTCATTATAGGAAAGAAGATGGAGAGGTATATACTTGATGATACCTTAGTATAAAACATGGACGGCAGAAAAAGGGTAATGTCTTGGCTTATACATTCTATGACACCAGAAATTAGTGAGGGACATCTCCCTGCATCTACTGCAAAGGAGATTAGGGATTCAGTGAAGAGCACATATTCAGTTATGGTATAGTAGCCTTGTTTCAAGTCAAGAAAGCACTTATAGTGCTTAAACAAGGCTCTATGAGTGTCATTCAGTACTATATAAGACTCGAGACTGTGGCAGCAACTATACTTGTATGTAGTTCATCAATGGTCCCATCAAACTGATTTGCAGAGCTACAAATAGCTTGTTGAGAAGGAAAGGACGTATCACTTATGAGTTCCTTTTGGGACTCTAATTCCTTGGAGGAAGTTAGAGGTCACATAATGGGGATGACTCCACTTCCACCCCTTCAAAATGCATATAACATGTTAAAATGGGAAGAAAGCCGAAAACAGCTCACCCAAAATGTTGATTTGTCAATCACCCCAGCAACTGAATCTTCTGCTATGGTGGCAAAAGGAGGACAACTGAGTTTAAGGGGAAGAAAAATCTAAAGAATGATAACTGCAATAAGCTTGGACACACTAAAGAAAACTTTTGGAAGCTTCATGGCAAGCTTCCAAACTCAAAGCACAAGAACAGGATTGAAAGCAAAGGATTTATGATGTCCGCAGAAGAGAAAGAAGATTCAGAGACCGGAAAATGAAGCAAAGATATGAAGATGTTGACAAAGTTTCTGGAGAAGTATGAATTATCATCCTTCCCTAATATCAATTTGGCACAAACAGGTAATATGATTATGGATCTTCCATCTATGGAACCATAAACCACCTGGATTATTGATTCAAGTGCTGGTGATCATATGACCAGTAATAATGCTTTATTTGAGACTTTTCAAACAACTACAAGCTCTAGGAAAGTAAAAGAAGCAGATGGAACATACTCTAAAGTTGGTGGAATTGGAACAATGGTTATTTGTGACAAATTAAAATTGACTAACATGTCATATATTCCCAATCTCAAGTGCATTCTTACGGCTGTTAGTAAATTGAGGAAGAGGCAATGTTGTCATACTAATTTGAGGATGACTTGTATTTTGCACGATTTGAATTCAGGGCGGATGATTGGCAATGCTAGGGTGGTCTCTATTTTTCTAAAGCTCCAGACTACAAAGGAGTGAGATCTCGAGTTGCCTATTTTGTTTTTATTTCTAAAAATGTACTTTTGTGGCCTCACAAATTAGGACATCCCAGTTTTAGCTAAATGAAAGCCAAGTTTCCAAAGCTTATCGATAACAATTCTATTTCTTTTCAATTTGAGTTTTGTGGACTAGCAAAACATGCTAAAAGCACGTATCCATCTAACTCCTATAAACCTACACGGCCTTTTTCTCTCATCCATAGTGACATTCGGGGACCTTTAAAAGTTCCTAATATAATGAAATCAAGGTGGCCTATGACCTTAATAGATGTCCATACTTATGACATGGGTGTTCTTGATGAGAGAGGAGTCTGAAGTGTTTGAGATTTTCAAACAACTTTATGCCTTTGTCAAAAATCAATTTCAAACTTCCATCAAAGTATTTAAGAGTGACAATGCAAGAGAATACTTAGAGTAAGGGATTTCAAATTTTTTTCAATATCCATGGAATCCATCACCAAATCTCATGCCTATACTCCACAACAAAATGGAGTTGCAAAAAGGAAAAATAGACACCTATTGGAATAGCTAGGGCAATAACAATGACAAGCTATGTGACTGTTGGGTTTTGGCGGGATGCCATCTTTAATACTCCCTACCTAATCAATACAATGCCTACAAAGGTCCTTAATTTTCAGACTACTAACCAAAAATTTCTTGAAACCCAACCTTACTCACCACTCGTCTTCTCCACCTCTGAAAGTGTTTGGATGTACAACATATGTTCTCAATGAAGGGGATGGAAAATTATGTCCTAGGGCTGTAAAATGTATTTTCTCAGGATATTCACCGAATCAAATGGATTTTAAATGTTTTTGTCCTAATACAAAAAGGGCTTATGTCACAATGGGTGTCACATTTTTTTAGCAACAACCATTATACTCTAAAATTGGCTGTGATGGTGGGGAGAACAGTGGGAGTGAATGGTTGACACAGAACATTAATCAACCTGAACTTGGCCATTTAAACATCCCCAATACTGTTTTGTCTCCTATATCTCCATGTTCCTTTCCACGCAATTCAGAAAAACATCAAGACAATAAAGAAAACCCTTCAGATAGACCTGAAAACTTCTGTTCTCACCCACAAAGTTGAGAAAAAGACTCAAACAGCCCAGAAAATTGCTTTACCTGACCTGAAACTGAACCAACAAACATCCTGAACAACAATACAGGTGATTTAGAGGGGATGTGAGGAAGAAAATAAAAAATAGAGATCAACTCCACTCTCCAACAAAATCAAGAAGTTGAACCTGATCCAAATCTTGCGGGCTTGAACAAGCCTATTGCTCTACGAAAGGGGCTAAGAACTTGTACACAACATACTATAAATAAGTTTGCTTCCTATGAGAAATTATCTCCTTCTTTTAGAGCATATGTTGCAAATATTTCCTGTGAGGAGATTCCAAGAAATTTTTAGGAGGCCTGCAAAATCAAAACTAGAAAAGAGCCATAGATGAAGAGTTGGCTGCACTTGCTAAGAATAACACCTGGAAGTTACGTGAATTACCTGAAGGGAAACCTGTTGTAAGCTGTAAGTAGGTTTTTACAATTAAATATAAACCAAATGATAGGTTGCAAAAGGCTCTAGTCAAACTCATGGTATTGACAACCAAGAAACATTTGCTCTAGTAGCAAAGTTAAATAGCATTAGAAATCTCCTATCTCTCGCAGGTAACAAAGATTGGCAGGTAACAAAGATTGGCCACTCTACTGGTTGGATGTGAAAATTGCTTTTTTAAATGGAGACATTGAGGAGGAGATGTATATTTAAATACTTCTTGGTTTAAAAATAGCTGAAAATTCATCAAAAGTTCATAGGCTTCAAAAGTCCTTGTATGCTAAAGCAATCATCAAGGGCCTGGTTTGGGAAATTTTCTTGTGCTGTGAAGTATGGATATGATCAATGTCAAACCGATCATAATCTTTTTTGCATGACATAATAAAGGAAATTTCAGTTTTAGTTGTCTGTGTTGATGACATGATCTTACAGGTAATGACTACGAAGAGATTCATCAATTGACGAAGGCTCTTGCAAGGAAATTTGAGGTGAAAGATCTTGGGTATTTGAAGTATTTTCTTAGAATGGAAATGGCTCGGTCAAGTGAGGGAATGAATGTTTCACAAAGAAAGTATATACTTGATCTATTGAAAGAAACAAGGATGCTTAGTGCTAGAGTAGCAAATACTCCAATGGAACTACATGCAAGCTAAAAATGAGAGATGATGGAATCTTTGTTGATGTTGGAAGGTATCAAAGATTGGTTGGAACACTGAGTTACTTATCTCACACTAGGCCAAACATTTGTCATGTTGTTAGTGTAGTAAGTTTGTTCATGAATAAACCTCAAAAGGAGCATATGCAAGAAATGTATAAAATATTGAGATACCTCAAGAAGACACCTGGCAATTGACTGTTCTTCTCAAAAAGGAGAACTAAAGACATTGAAGTTTATACAGACACTGATTTGGGAGATTCTCTTGTAGATAGGAGATCAACTCCTAGTTACTACACATTTGTCAGGGGAAATTTGGCAACTTGGACAAGTGAGAAGCAAAATGCTGTTGCAAGGAGTGGTGCAAAAGCATAATTAAGAGCATTAGCACATGGGATTTGTGAAGTAGTCTGGATACAATTGGTTCTAAGAATTAAAGAGTGGTGCATTAGCATTAGCACATGGGATGTTACAGCACCAATACATATCTGGTGTGATAACATGGATGCTATAAAGATCTCAAAGAATCCTATTCATCATGATAGAACAAAGCATATGGAAATTGAAAGGAATTTCACAAAACAAAAAAACTTAAGGTGGCATGATCAATCTTGATTATATATCCCGTCAAGAATTCAAATGGCAAACTAAAGCCTCATCAAGAACCAAGTTTAAAGAACTTAGAGGCAAGATGGGAATGATTAACATCTATTCTCCGCTTAAGGAGGAATGTTGAACATGTCTTGGGCCTTGGACATATTTATGCTTAACCTAATTGTTAAGTTTGTTTAATATAGTGGCTGCTAGTTGATTAGACTTTATTCTCCTATGATTTATGGTGGCATTATTCTCCTATGAATATATATCATAATCTATCCAAATCCTACTAATATAATAATAATATAATTAAATATCAAACCCTATCTAAATTTAAATCCTATTTAAACCATAAATCATGAGGTTAAGCATGGTTTTTATTGATTTGGAAAAAGTAATTGAAAACAGGTTGAGATTAAACTATAGAGGGATTAAACTCATGAGCCACACAATGAAATTGTGGGAGAAAGTAATTGAGCACAGGTTGAGATTGAAGACAAGTATTTCTAAGAATCAATTTGGTTTTATGCCAGGTAGATTAACTACAGAGGCGATTTATCTACTAAGGGGATTAATGGAAAAGTATCGTTGTAAAGATAAAGATCTACACATGGTTTTTATTGATTTGGAAAAAGCTTATGACCGTATACCAAGAGAAGTGCTTTGGAAAGCGTTAGAAAAAAAGGGAGTACGGATTGCTTATATTAAAGCCATACAAGATATGTATGAGGGGGTAAAAACTAGTATAAAAACGCCTAGTGGTCAAACAAAAGATTTTCCTATAAAGATTGGACTACATCAGGGATCATCTCTGAGTCCTTATTTGTTCAACTTGATTTTAAATGTCTTGACGGAACATATTCAGAGGAAATCCCGAAATGTATGCTCTTCGCGGATGATATAGTTCTTATAGCAGAGACAAGAGAAGAGGTTAATTGCAAACTTGAGTTATGGAGGAGGACATTGGAGTCGAAAGGTTTTCGTCTGAGTAGAAGTAAGACGGAATATTTATATTGTAAATTTGGTAAAGGACTATTCGAAAATAATTTGGAAGTGAAATTGGGAGATCAAATTATACCTCAAGTGGAAAAGTTTAGATATTTGGGAGCCATTATTCAAAATGATGGCGAAATCAGTGGAGATATTTCACATAGAATTCAAGCTGGGTGGTTTAATTGGAGAAAAGCTAAAGGAGTTATTTGTGACCGTAAGGTGCCTAATAAACTTAAAGGAAAGTTTTATCGTACTGCTATCAGACCGGCAATGTTATACAGTAGTGAATGTTGGGCTCTAACGGGACAGCAAGAGCATAAAGTTGGAGTAGCAGAGATGAGAATGTTACGATGGATGTGCGGACATACACGTAAAGATAAAATTCGAAATGAGCACATACGTGAAAAAGTGAGGGTGGCACCTATTGAGGAAAAAATGGTAGAAAATAGGTTGAGATGGTTTGGGCATGTACAAAGAAGACCAAGGGAGGCACCAGTGAGAAGAGTGGAACATATAACTTTGAGTCCGATTAAGAGAGGAAGAGGAAGGCCTAAGAGAACACTCTTGGAAGTTGTTGAACGTGATCTCTTAATTAATAATATTTCTAAAAGCTTAATAAATGATAGAGTACAATGGCGTCTTGCAATCCATGTAGCCGACCCAACCTAGTGGGATAAAGGCTTGTTGTTGTTGTTGTTGTTGTTGTTAAACCATAAATCATATCTAAACCTATTTAAATCCCAATTAATTCCTAATTATTTTCTTTTTATTATAATTACACAACAAAAATTTCCTCAAACTGAAAATGAATGTGTTGAAGAATTGAAGGGTCTTTTGCTTTTGGATAAAGGAGAAAGCAATGAAATCTCATTGAATACGATCTATCAATGCAAAGCAATAAAGAACAAGTTAAGAAAACCATGTCAACAGGAAAGATTGCAAATCAAATTATCTAGGACGTATGTTTTGAAAAGTCTTGCTTATATAAATGTATAAAAAGTAAAAGCAATGCCATAATATGTAAGGTAGTTATCCATGCAAATGTTGGAGAGATCAATGAACATACTGCACAAAATCAACAGAATTCGAACATGATATGATATGAAAATAACATGCACACAAACCATCATATGGGGTATCAGGAGCTCGGCAAACACATTCCTTGATATCACTAGCAATCACCCTCTGTCGCAAGAAAAAGTCAGTAAATGTAATGGAAAAAAATTAAAGAAAAATTTTTGGTTATTCACAGACCTGGGAGTAAAGTTTGTAGCTTTCAGTTGTATTGGGAAAATCAACATCTACAGTCTGTAAGCAAAAGATAGATTATTCAAGTAAAGTAACATAGCAGCAACATATTAAAATAAATTCAATATAAGCACTTATGGAGCTAAATGAAACAAAAGTTCAAAATAAAAAATTCTGGCTATTAAGTTTGGCAGTGTTGCCCCAAATGCATCAATGAAACTAGATTTGAATCCCGTGCTACCTAAATTTGAATTTTGGATAAAAGAAAACCATAATGCTTTGTTTTTAAAGATAAACAAAATATTGGAAGTAACAAGTTATGCTAATCACAAGTAACTAAAATGCAATCTTGATATACCTGAAACTCTCCAGGCCGGATTTCCTTTCTCTTAAAGGAATACCGGGGTTTAATCTGAGATAACACAATAAAAAGGAAGAATATTTCAATAGCCAAATAAAAATTATAGTAACCTTACTTCAAATGGATATTGGAACAGGGAAAAAAATCCAACGTTTGCCACTCACCACAATACCCTTACTTTCCAAACTTTTCATCAAGCAATCCGTAAGAAACTCTCCTCCTATAGGAGAAGCTGCAACTGCCTGTCGTAAAAGATAATACATGATCCAAAGAAATAGTGACAGTCACCCCCAACAGAGACAATGGAAGGAAGGATGCATGAATAGTGCATGTGAAGAAATATAATCTAACAAAAATAGGATTCCCTTATTAACAGTGCGCAATGAAAAGGAGATTGCATCAGATCTTCTCACACACATGTAGACTACCATAGATTTACAAATCATCATAGTATTATCACCATAACAATAAATTTTGTGCGTCTCATTTGCTAAAATTGTATCCATGAAGACTATACGATTAGAAACCCTTGTAAACATGTTACTTTCTGGAATCTAATCATTCAAATGTTTTCTGTGTCATAACAAATATCATTTCCCATTTATCTTTTATAATTTTAAAAATAAAGATTTTTCACACATGTATTTATTAAAACATACTTCAATAATTAAGTCTTCAAACCCGTCAGTAGTCAAGCTAAATTTTAAAGATCGGATATTGGTGCATACCAAGGAATGAATTAGTATTCACAACTCCTCAGAAATAATTTAGATAATGAGCTATACCTTTTGAAGAACATAACCATCATGGACAGGTGCAACAGTAGTTGATCCTCCACCACTGAGTAATTAAAATATTGACAAAAAACTACTCATCAAGAATGATTCCAGCATTATATTGTAGTATCTTAGGGAAAATAACATAAAACTAGATGCTCCTTGGAAGATACCCAATCCCCCAAAATAGTCCACCCACTTCAAATCTAAATGGAATTCTCACATTTTCTTCAGACATACATATAACCTTTCGTCCAGCTAACATGAAGTAAAAATGAGACATTTAAGATAAAACAGAACATTATCACATAACATCTGAGCATCTATATGTTAATATCTAACAATATAAGAACAGAGATCCACAATCAGATCAGGTTAGTCAATTAACATCTCCAAAGACAATATCCAAACTACTAGCCAGACATGTGATATCCCTTACCCATCAACAACTAATGCCGTGGCACGACCTGATGCAAAAGATGTAAGAACCTGGTGTTAAACAATAAACCCTTGTTAATCAATCAATTCATTAAAATTGTCAATCATATCAAGAAATATGAAGTTAGAAATAAATTTCCAATAACTATTTCTTTTCCTCAAAATAATTGATATGCTTCAACAAGGAGGTATCGAGAAGTGAAAAAACCATTCACTTACAGCATTCTTGGCCAAAAACAAAGCAGGTACTTTGTACTTTTCAAACATAAGTTCTGCCGTCCTGTCAGATACAGAACAAACTAAAATGTAAATGTAGATGAATCCAACTGAAAATACTAGACAAGAGGTATCAGGTTGCACTACAGATAAAACCAAATCAAAAAAAGAAAAAAAAGAAATAAGGCTAGAATACCTTTCTCTCTGTTGTTGAGTGTTAGAAGAAGGTTCTGCAAGTAGCATTGGATGCTCTTTAGGATCGATCAAAAGGCATTCCCTAAAAGTGTCATTCAAGTCACTTGTTGAGCAATTCTATAGTATAAAAGAGATAAAATGATATCTGGAAACTTACAAGGCAGCAACAATAAGAAAACAGCAGAGGGATGGGAGGAAGAACCCATCAGTCATTATCACACGAATAGAAGCTGTTGCACCCATTTAAAAAAAAAAAAAAAAACACAGATAGAGAGAGAGAGAAAAGAAAAGACATCGCTACTACAAGAAAATCATTAAAAACCTGAAAGCATGATCCCAAATGCTATCAACAATATCCCAGTCAGCAACGATTCCATCTTTCAACGGTGATAGCACCTGATGGCAAGACAAAAACATAAAAATCACCATAAATTATCTGAAGGCGACTACCTAAACTAGGAGCTAATTACGAAGGATTACCTCCATATGGTCTCTGCGGTATCCCAAGGACTGTGATCCTACATACAATTTGCGCTTTCCTTTGGTTTTGTCAGAATCAGGATTTCTGGTGTTGTTTTTTGAATCCGCAGAAGAAGCAGAGTTCTTTTCAGTATTATCAGGCTCATCAATGTCCATTTGATCAATTGCTCCAACAACCTAAATAAATACAAGTTGAAAAACCTATAAGACATTATACAGTCCATAAATATTAAAACTATCCATGGAATTTCTAGGCCTCCTGATAAACTTTACATCACTTGCATTTTCCTCTATCTAGAGATAAAAGCTTATCACCACTCAGAATGCCAGAGCTCAGAAAAGTAACTGAGTCCTACATAGCAATAGTTAACGAAATAATATTGAAAAACTCGAAAAACTGGCACACTCTAATATTTCAGCGGAACGGAGGCAACATTCAAAAAAAGAAAAAGAGAAATAAAAAAGGCCAAATGAGGAACTAAGACAACAACACTCACGGAGGGAAACACAGCCTTGGGAGCATCTTCGCCGGCGTAACCGGCTTTGCAAGTGTGGGAGCCCAAGTCAATCACAATTGCAGATACTTCGTCTGTGAATTCCCAAAAAACACAATGCGCGATGAGGAAAAATACATACAGAAAGGAGAATCGGAAAGAACTATATTATACGGAAAAAAAAAAGTATTATAACCACCTCCTCCATACATGACTGAAGCTTTTATGTGGTTCCACAGAGAGAATTAGGGTTTTAAAAGGGTCTTAACTTTTCCCACTAAATTTTTTAGTAGGGTTTTATAAACACTGAGTTTCGAGCAAGAAGAAGCTCGCGTGCTAACAAAGACCGACAAACGACTTTCCGGCCGTTCTTCCGGCAGAATTAACGGTGGTAACAGGACAAGCAGAGGTGGTGGATGGTAGCTGCTGGATGGGAGTGATTGTTGAGGAAAGGATGGTCTAGGTATCTGGCTTTGGGCTCCACTGACATGGGCCTCCGAATTTCAACGATCTTCTTTTTTGGGCCACCATTTCAAACGTGGGCAAGGCTATTACTGTTTTAATTGTATTGGGTTAATTGGGTTAATGAATGTCATAGAGTGAATATTATCATAGACTTTAAACTCTTGGATTGTACAAAAACTTTCTTAAACTTCTAAATTTAAGTCTTTGAAATTTCACCATTAAATTAGAAAAAATAGCTATTATTTTTAAAGGTCAAGATGAGTGCTATGTCAGTATACAATTGAACCCTATAATAACAAAAATAATAGCCATTTTCTTCAACTTAACAATGAAATTTCAAGCACTCAGAATTTAGAAGTTGAGAAGAGCTTTTACACATTTTAAAAATTTAGGGTTTAAGATGATATTCGTGTAATAGTTTAGGATTTAGGATACTTATTGACACAATTATATTTAAACTTTTTGTTCATTAAACTAATTAAAATTGATGTGAGCAGTAAAGGCACTTGTCATTTAAACAAGTGGCTGGGGTCATTTCTCTTTGTATTAAATTTTTTAGGTTATTTGAGCAACATTATTTAACTTTTTATTGGGATTTTACAAAGTGTTGAATTTTATTAGGATTGTGACATGTATAAGATTTTTCTCTTTATTGAATTTTTGTTGGGTTAATTCAAGCAAATTATTGCTTTTTTATTTAAATATTCATTTTTATGTTCAAATAAAATATTTTTTATATATAAAAATTATATTATATTATTTTAATTAAAACCAATATGACTCTAGGTTAACTTCTAGTTAAACCATAAACCTTTAATCTACTATCTTGATCGATTTAATAATAGGTCTAGATTTAAATACCTTATCTACCATCGCTCCTAGTACTTTGAAAGTTTGTTGTTGGTAGGGCCTATTCTTTATATTTACCCAAAAAAATTGTTCACGTATATGTAATTTTGTATCTATGCAAAAAGAAAAAATGAAAACATTCTAACTTCCTCTATTAAAAATATAACATATTTTTTAAAGGGTTAAATATTTAAAAATGTAAGACATTTTTAGTATTTTAAAGTGTAATTAATGTGATTTTTTTTAAATTCTTATAGTAAATAAATTACTTTTATATTTACTTTTAAATGAAACATAATATAAATAAAAAATAAATATAAAAAATGGTATTAGTTGGAAGATAATTAACTACATATTGAATGTGGAGATTTAGTTAAAAATCTCTTATATTTTTAAAGGAGAAAGTGAAAATGTTTACATTTTTAAAAATGCACTGGAATAGTTTAGTGTTTGAGAAGAAAAATAAAAATTAAAATTAAAAAAATTTATGTAGATATAGATATTCTCTTCATTTAAAATATAAGATATTTTTAACTGAATCTTACCCTCAATCAAAAATTTTATTTTTTCATATTTATCCCTATTTAATAGAGTATTTCACCCTAAAATAAATATAAAATAATTTATTTAATAGAGTCACTTTTGAAAAAAAAGGCAATAATTAGATCTTAAAAGACTTAAAAAATTTACATTTTTTAATATCCAACCCCTCAAAAAAGTCTTACATTTTTTAATAATAGAAGTATATAAAAAATAATTTGTATATATAACATCTATTATTTTACTAAAAAACTTATATTCATCATGAATTTTTAGTACAAAATCCTACATGATCTCTCAAAATACAAAAATCTTATTATTTTTATACCTTGTTTAAATTTCTAAAATTTATAAGTATAGACCCCACTCATATTTTTAATGGTAGGTCTTACACACACCACTTTTAAACGATACTTCTTAATTTTTTAAAAATTAAGTTTATTAAAATATTACATTCTCTCTATTAACCTTAGAGCCTCAATTCATACTGAGTTTAAATATCTAAATATATAAAAAATTTATAGTTGAGCATGATTCTTAACACATTTAGTTTTCGAGTTTATTTAAATTAGTTTAACTACCTCAAATTATTATATTATATTTTATTTTATCTTTCTCTTTATTGAGTCCATACACTGCATCTTTCAATATCTTTTTTGGCCAATTTATGCATTTGATTTTTTAAAAGTTACAAAATAAATACATTGAAATAATAAAAAATTAATTTTTTGGTAATTTAAATAATTTTTAGACAACATTTACATTTAAATAGGAGTATTTTAGTCTAACATACGTGACTTAATAGTCAACTAATAGTTAGGTGGATGAAAATAAAATTTTAAAAATAAAAAGGGCTTGTATTTTATAACTACCTATACCAAAAAAATATTGATATAGCTTTTAAAAAAATAGAAGAGATATATCATTAATTAAGATATAAAAAGATAAATATTTTTCTCATTTTTAAGTATAAGTTTTGTATGTACTGTTTATATTTAAATAAAAGTATTTTAATCCAGCACACATAACTTAAGGGTCAACTAATGGCTAGGCGAATGAAAATAAAATCTTAAGAATAAAAGGAGGGCTTATATTTTATAACTATATATTAAAAAAATATTCATATAGGTTTCAAAAAATAGAAGAGAGTATTATTAATTAAGATAAAAATTGATAAAATAATTTTCTCATTTTTAAGTATCTTAAGTTTCATACGTACCATATCCATCTGAAAAAAAAAATGTTAGATTCATAAAAATAAAATAAAAAATGAAAAGTCGGATGATGGTACCATTTTTTTTTTTTTTTACAAAAAAGAAAACGTTAGATTCATAAAAAAAATTTGAAAAGTCGGATCTGACAATGTTGCAATGGCAAAAGATTAAAAAAGGGGAAAAATCTGGGGGTATTTTCGGAAATTAACTGTTCATTCAATATCGAAGATACAGATGTTCACCAAACTTGCCAAATTTATATAGAAGATATGGATGTTCACACCAAACTTGCCAAATTTATGTAGACATAGTATAGGTGTTCAGTCACAAGGTTTTGATTTCTCTTGTTTGTATTGGCTTGATAATTATTTAATATGATATCCTTCATATTAAAATAAAACGATTATGATAATGAAACTAATGCTTATTTTTTCTATAATACAAAGAGCACTACTTTATCAAGTGAGTTCGTTTCTTGGCAGAAGAAAGTGAGTTTGCTTCAAAAATTTTAATGGTAAGTTATTATCTTGCTTAAATCATCAAATTTATATCTCAATCTTGATGAATTGCTAGTTGTCTACGGTAGAGGATTCAAATTTATCAAGTGGCTTAATATATACTCACTCTATGAATATTCTAATTATTATTACTGGGTTTGATCAATATTTAAAATTATCAAGATATGTTTCCCTAAAAGTTTAAAACAATATTCCCAATCAAAATTAGATCGATAATTCAGGTTCAGCCTAACTTGAATTCATTTCAGCTTTCGATAGCCCAAATACTCACAATTTATTTTTAAAATTAATTTTAATTTAATTTTTTTACTTTGAAATTACTTATTTTTATTTTATAAAAATATAAAATAAATTTTTTGAATTCTTAAATAATGTATAAGACTCAAAATTTTTTTAAAAATATCTGAGTCTTAAATCTAAAATAAATATAAAAATATATTTTAAATATTATTTTAAAATATTTTATAGACTAAAAATAAAAAAAATATGACAATACAAATATTTTCAATTTTTTTAAAATATCTATAGTAATGCATTTTTGTTTGGCCTAATATATTAATGCATTTAAATATATGGTATTTCAGTAAAAATGAGTTAAAACTCAAAGAATTAATTAATTTATTATATTTTATATATTTTTAAAAAAATAATTTTTTATTTGGATATTTGGGATCGAGATTAGTTCAAATTTTATTGAGTATATTTTAGCTAACCTGAATAGACCTGAACATTAAAAATTATTATTTTACTAAGTGTAATCCTAATTTTTTTTTAGTTTATCTCATTAGATGTGAATTAACCATCTAATTATAACACTTCTTACATTTTTATCCTCTCAAAAATGTAAAATTTAATACTTTTTTAATGTTATATAATAAAATCTCTTATAATTGTTAGATTAAATAATCAAACGGTTATTATTATATTATATTTTTTACTAAAACTATCCACGAATTATAATACCTTAGATTAGATGGCCATTTGTCTTTTACTCTGTTGCTGCTTGCCATTGATCCACGTGGGCATGATTTAAAAAATTTCACCCCGTCCTTACGTCTATCGGTTGCAGCCTTTACATGGTGGGTCCCACAGGTGCTTTTTGTCCATATCTTGCAATTTTATTTTAGTTTTCTTTTTTTTTCTTTTTTGGCTAGTCATTTTTTGCAATTTAATTGTAAAAATGACAATTAAGTCCCAAAAGATCAATTTTATTCAACATAAGTCTAGAGACATTTGAAATATCAATTAAGTCCCTAGGTCTTTGAGTATCATTTTAATATAATGAAAATGACCGAAACACCCTTATTTGGCTGATGAAAATTTGAGGTTGCTCATTCTCTACTCTACTCTGCCCTACAATTACTTGTCTGTTGTCTCTTCCCTGCCCTGTGTTCATCGTCTCTTCCCTGTCTCATTGCAAGCGAGTAAAGCTCTCTGTCATCTCTTCCCTAAGCTGTCCAGTAAAGCTGTTTGTCATGTTTATTCTAGTTCTGTTTGACGTCTTTTCTCTGCCCTAAGTAATCAGTTGCTTAGGTCATTAATCTGTAATCTATTTTAGTCATTAATCTTTGATGGGCATGATGCATTTGCGTAGCTAAAGAGTCTGATCCTCATCAACATTCACCATTCCGATTATGTAAAAATTGCTCTTCTTTCTTTCAATTTTTTTCAAGTCCTTAGCTGAAGGGGGACTATGTAATTTGGTAAAGTGAGGACATGCTCAAATGGATTTTAAGTTTGAAGTTATACATTGTACCCAATTAATCAAGTTTGCAACTTTGTAACTCTATAATTTGTTTTCACAATTTATTCCCAACTTTAATATTGAAACGTATTTGTAAAGTTCAAGTTATACATTATACCTAATCAATCAAGTTGC